TATTTCACTCCACCAGATGTGTAAGTCTACCTGACATATTCTCTGTATATAGGAAAGGACATTTTGTTTGTTAACCATTGTATTCACATTCAGGTGTAAATAAATACCTTTATTACATATTTATAAAGTATTTTTCTTATTTATATCAGTCCCAAAATAAAGTAGGACTAGCACAATACCTTCACTAAGTTTGTCATTAGTTTTCTATGTAGCTATTCAGAAGTAAATCTTTATTTATATCACTATTTTTATCACTCACCTTTTGAAATACCTGCTCCAAATTCATTTTCCTTGTAACTTTTTTTAATATCTTAAAACTTTAGCTAAAGTTTTTATACCTGTGTCACTTAATTTTTCTAAGCAGTTGTTGTTATATATGTGGTGAAAGTTGTAAACAAACTCTTCTCAAATGTACCTACATAAGTTTCTCTAAAACATCTTTCTCCTTTTAAAGTCTGATTTATTGCAGGAATTAAGAAGAGAATACAAATTTATAAGAGATAAAATTCCTTTTAATTGGTTTTCTGTGAATGGAATTGTATCCAAGAGGAACTGTAACAAAAAAAAAAAACCTACTGGTTTCTTGAACCTTAACCCCTGTCTTCAATTTATATGTATACTGTGTGTCAGTTGAACAAAAGTGACAGAAGCTAATACAGCATTTACTGTGAGAGTAGTCTTCATTAACCTTTCAACAGAAATTGGTTTTATGTTTCTCTGTTCTATTCTGACCTTTGACAATTTCTGCATGAAAAATCTTCTTCAGGTTCATAAGTTTTATTCCAAAAATAGACTTCTCTCAATTTTGAGAGAGAGAGAAAACTTAAAAAGAAGGAAGGTGTTTTTATTATTATGAAGTTTAATTCTCTTGTGTACTGGAATATTTTCTCTCATATCCTGTAACTACTATATATCCATTCAACATCCTGCAAATGTCAATCATGTCATTGTTTAAAATATCACATGGAGGAAAAAATAATCACTGTTCAAAAAAAGAAAAAAAAATTTTTCTTTGGTGCATACTGCTACTACTTTTATATGCTGTATCTCTTCAAGACAATCATGGCTCTCCTTAACTTCTTTTGTAGTTCTAAGCAATGTTTACCCCTAACTTTACCATTCTTCTCAGCTCTTGCTTTGCTATCTATTTACAAACACATTTAATAGGTTATTTGTTTTTTTTTTCTCCTCTACTCTTTCTTTTAGTATATCTTTCAAGTGTTATATTCTCCAATCCCTCCTTCCTTATTATGTCACAGAAATTTCAACTTTTTCTGATTGTAAGTATATGTTCTTTACATTTCCCTTTTTTCTTAAAACTTCCTTGTTACTACTTCATCCATGGTATTCTCAGCATCCTACTGGAGAATCATATTTCTGTTACTTTATGAAACCTACCTGAGAGGAAGGACTTGATAATTGTGAAGACTCTTTCAGAGACGCCAGAACTGGAGGGTTTGTGTAGCAAAATTCTAAAGCCTTTGTGATATCTAAGGCAATTATCTTGCAATGATTTTGCCATAGAATGCATCACATAATCTGAGGTTAATGACACTCAAGACATCAGCAGTGGATCTAGAGGAGCAAAACCTATACAAGGTGTGATTGTTTCTGATGCAATGATCAACTCTTGTTGATAATAGAATGAGAACCCTTTTATCTACAAAGGTAGAGTGTTCTTGTCCTACTCTCCATGTCTAGGGTTATCTTTTCTTGTTCTCTTTTTAGACACTTGAAGAAGGCCAGAGGGCATAATGGTTGAAATATAACAACAACAAAGATGATGATATTAGAACGTAAATAATGCCTCATCTCAGAAATTCATTTTAAGATAATTTTGATAAATTTATCATCCAACAATGTATTTTGATATTATACTTAGCTTAATCTGACACAAGGCTATAAGTGTGGAGCACCAAATGAGGATGAAATTTAGCATAATAATAATAATAATGGTCTGTTCTCTACAATGAGGATCCTGAAATTATTTACTTGGCTTAGTCTGGCACAAGCCTATGAGTGTGAAGAATCCAATAAAAAAAAAAAAACTACCTTGGTTATTTTGGAATCAATTCAGTGACCATCATTTATAGATTTTGTGAAATATAAAGTCCAAAATGAAGTAATATTCACTGTTGAAAGCTGACCACTTCACATTGTTTAGTGGTATACCAACACCTTCATGGGTCATTTAATGCTAAAATTTAATTTTCTTGGTAGCATTAGTAATTTCTTTTCCAAAGATGTATTGCTGTTAATTTTTTTTATTATGAAAATATATTGCTGATATTTTTACTATATAGATGGATTTTTATACTTTCATAGTGTTTTGACCCCAATTTGGACGTTAACTATTTTCTCATAGTTGGGAACATAATAGGTGCTACCACCCCAAGTCAAGGTGGACCTGGGAACAACAGCAATAAGGAGGTGGTTCCACACTCCTCAAAACCTGCTGATCGGAGGCCTTGCTGCCGGATGTAGTTTGTCATCATCCCTAGGACACAGCTTCATATTAGTCACATTTCTCTGTATTTAAACCAATTAAAAGGAATTTTATCTCTTATAAATGTTTGAATTTCTATTCTCTTAATTCCTGCAATAAACCAGACTTTAAAAGGAGAAAGATGTTTTAGAGAAACTTATGTGGGTAAATTTGATTATTTTTTCCTCTAATATTTTCAGTATTTTAGATGAGTAGAGTTCAAAATAGAAGCAATTTCAATGGCCAAGTGCAACAGAACTCTTACACAACGAAAAGCAAAACTAAAATTACTAAATAAATGAAGCTTGGCTATGAAATTAGGCTATACTGAAAAAATCCAAGTTAGAAAGAGAAAAAAAATGAATAGACAGAAATTGGAAAGATGAAAGCATTTGATTATGGATAAAAAAAAAATTGGGTAAATTTGCTTTGACCACTAAATGGTCTCTTGTCTTTCTCCTCCACCTATAGACTTCTTTTCATTGCATTAGATGACCTTGTGCTTATTATCTAAAAAAGAAGATTACTGGTCAAAGGAAAAAATAGCCATAATCATATTTTATAGTAATGGTAAGTGAGGGAACAAAAAAGCAAGGAATTGGTGAAAGATCAAACGTTCAGAAATGGCTTTTATTGTGGAAAAGTCATTTGGGTTTGGCAAGGAGGTACAAGTAGAGATTTTACTAAATCTTTTCATCTTGATAAAACAAAAAACCGCTACACTCTCCCTCCTCCCACAATTTCACAAGTACAGATCTTCATACACTTGAATCAATAGGCTCTACTTAGTAATGTAAGAATAAATTACGAAAGCAAAAGTGAAATGTTTGAAACTTCTTACAAAATGCAGGAAGTGGTGTACAATTCTGATAGAAAGTGAAAAGTAAGAAATACAAAGATCATTCTGCTCAGAAATGGTTATTACCTCAGTGCATTTATAATTATTACTGATAAGAATGGACATAGCTTTCTTTTTTTATTATTGAAGGAGAATGAATGATAAAGAGAAAATAAGTAAAATGGTTGTAAATATTAGGGATGATGAATAAAGGATACTGTGGAGAAGAATATGAAATATATATATATATATATATATATATATATATATATATATATATATATACTTACACACATACAGAGTGCAAAGGGTAAATTGTCACCATTTTATATTTTTAATTTTGTACCTTGTTTGTTTTTGATTTTATCATCTGCACAGTATAATAGACTCAGTTGGGCACCATCTGTGAGAAAATGAGCACCATGACAGAATTCACTCTATTTAAAATTTTGAAACAGCTTGCTGTACTGCTTGGCATTCATGCAGGAAACTCTAATATGAACATTTCAGAGTGTCTGAGGACAGTGCAGAGGATTCGGAAAGAGTTGGATGAGCCACATGGTGATTACAAAGGTTTTAGAATGATCACTAGTGATGACAACGTTATACTTCTGTTCGTCTTCTCACAGGGCTACAGACTCAACACTGATGCCGACATCAAGTGCCTTGAGGAGATAGTGCTGCCCTGGATCAAGAGGGTAGCTGCTGGAAGACCCTATATCTGACAACAGGATTCTGCGCCATGCCACACAAGCAGGAGAACCCAGTCATGGCTGTCAGACAATTTCTGCAAGTACATCACTCCTTACATCTGGCCATCTAACTCCTTAGACTGCAACCCCCTTGATTATTGTGTGTGGTATGCAGTTGAGCGAGAGACTGACAAAATTCCATGTAACACCAAAGGTGAACTGAAGGCAAAGATTATGGCAACATTCACAAACTTAAACAAGGAGACAACCCAGAAGAGTTGTAGGAGATTCCAAAGTCGTTTGGAGGCCATGGTTGAAGCCAATGGTGATTTTATTGAATAAATTTAATCTTTGATATTTCAAGATATTTTTGTGTAATTTTGGTAAATATATTTGTTAAAATGAGATGTCACTGTTATTTTCATTTTTGCATAATTTAGACAACTAGATCCATTTCAAAACCAAAGCAGAGTATTAAGAGACAGAAAAACTTTGTTCTAAACAAAGAAAAGAGTAGTGAAGTGAACAGGAAGAGATAGTTGAAATTTCTGGGCACATAATGAGAAAAGAGGGTTTGGAAAATCTGATACTCACAGGATAGGTTGAGGGATAGAGGAAAACGGCACATAACATACTTGAGTAAATGTATGGCAGAACAGAGTTTAGGAGAAATAAAGAATAGATGAAATTTATTAAGAGCTACAAAAGTCAAGAAATTGTGGAGAGCCATGATCACCTACGTTTTGAGGGAACACTGCACAGAAAGATTATTATTTTTTGTTGAGTGGTTTAAATGTTATGAAGTACAAGTACAAATTGTATCTCAGTTATTGTCATATTTCAGTGTTTGGATTGTTACGCAAAACTCTGAGTTTGATTTGTTTCACTTTGTATTGAATAATATTAATTTGATTTTGTGTAAAGTGTAATACTTTGTATTATAAACACAGAAATTAATTGTTTTTCTTTTTTTTCACTTCACTAGCAAAAAGAAAGTGGAAGCTTTACCTGAACAAGTGTTTGAAATTGATGTTGATACTGATGATAAAGATGAGGTAATTATCTTTTTTGATTTCTGAAAGGTGTGTGGAGTCAGAAGTGAATTAAATCTTCATTTCATCTAACTGAGACTTCATTGAATATTAATAGATTTGCCAGGGAAAGACAGAAAAACTGAATGATGTGAAAATTCATCTCATTTAAACAAAAGGAATATAATAATTGAGGAAAAGTTATATATCCATCCATATTTAATATTACATATTTTATTAGGGATTTTAACTTTTAGCCCTTTGCATTATTATTACTTCCCTTTCCACTGCATTCTTCTTCAATTACAGTAACCTTCTTGTTAATTTCATTCAAAGGTTTTCTGTTGCATTAGCAGGATATGACAAAACAACTATGAGACTCAAATTCAAGAATCAGTCACCTTTGGGCAGGATAAACTTTTTGTGCAGCAAATGAAATCACATAAATGATAACAAACACGACCAGCTGGTTTTGCTTAACTGACTTCAAAAGTTTTGAAGATTTTGGTTTCAGGAAATCTCTTGGATTAGTTATGCGCAAAAGTATCTAATGAAAACCAACAATTGGCATGATACTGAGAACTTTTTACATTTATTGAAAATAAATGAAATTGATCTCTTAAAGTAAAAATAGTTTCCAATTAAGATTCTAGAAAGGTAGATCAGGTCTAACCTTCATGGCTAGGACCTGCCATGCCATTTACATTGTAGCAAATCACCCACGTTTCCTCCGTATTCCATTGGCAAGAACTAAATTCTGATCAAATGGCTTCTTCCCATGAACCACTGCACTGTGGAACAGACTCCCAAGAAAATGTTTCCCTGATCACTACAATTTTAATCTGTTCAAGTCTAGAGTTAACCGTTATCTTCCTCTCCTATCCATATAAACTATCCCTTAACATAACCCTCTACTTTGAGTGGACCCCAGGCCCTGTACAGGGTGAACCCTACTGAAAAAAAAAAGGTAATTTGTTAGTCTTTCTTTTGAAGACTTCACTAGTTTCTGACCATTACGAATGAGGAATCTATTCTCCCGGCAGTATTTTCCCATTGCACTAATAAGAGTAGGAAGTTTCTTGATGTATACCATTAGAAGTTGGAAATACTTAGCTATCTGTTTTATATAGATTATATTTTAGGTCACTAAAAGAGAATTTCATTTGCTCATGAATATCATCTTGAAAAACTAGTTCCTGTATGATCACTGAAGTTAAGCAAAGTCAAGTCTGGTCAGTACCTAGATGAGTGACCAGTTGTTGAATACCAGATGCTATAGGCAATGGATAATAGCTCAGAATTGTTAATTGGAGAACTGAGTTCCAATTCCAGTCATGTTTTTTGTATTCACTTATGCACAAATACCGTTGTGAAAGATATGAATCCACTTCAGCTATGGGTTAATTAGTAAGATTTGTAACACTAAATATTAATTATTTTCTCCCCCCAAAATTCTTACAATCTAAAAATATTTTCTGACTTGAAATAACTTGCAAAAGGTTGATAAGCTGTAAAAAAAATGAATCAATGAAATAAATTTCATTCACCTCGTTCTTGGTAGAAAATAAACGAATAAAGTCTCTTTCCTTTAAAGCAATTATTAAAGGATGATTTCATTTTTGGCAAAAGCAGCTGCAGCAAGTTTTGAAATGTATTGAATCTAAAATGTTTGCTGAAAAAGTGACGTCAACTTGTTCAATCCTTTTACTTCACACATGGAAGGATAATGCTGAGAAATATTTGTTGATTCAATGATTAGCCAACCGTTAAATATCTCGAAGAATCATTTGTTAACATTTGTTACCTGACAAATATAAAGTTTTTCTAGGCTTCAAGTTTAGAATAAAAACTGTTATTAGATTGATTGGAAAATGATGTCTGATTTTAGAATAAAACTTTGTTGTTAGCTGCACAAAAATATATATTTACTCATTCCTAATGATTAAAGTATCCTTCTTTTTAATTTTATATCACTCTTTCAGAATTTAACTTAAAACGTTATATACCCCCTCATCTTGAACATGAAAAAAGAATAGATGCATTTAATTTTTTTATGAGTTCAAACTTGGTTATAATGCTTCTCAAATTGCTGCCAATATTAACAGAGCATGTGGTGGTGGTGGTGGTGGGTGAAAGATCCACTTGTGATTAGACAGTACAGCACTCTTTTCTGAAATTCCATAGTGGGTATATGGGTTTTGAAGATTAAGGTGGTAGAGGATCTTTGTCTGGAATTTACAATCAACATATGAAACCCACTTCAGAATATCAGAGAAATGTCTCCAATAATGGGTGTCAACATTTCAAAAATATCTGATCATCTCATGAAAGCTGGCAAAGTGAAGAAAAGTCCGATAAATGGCTTACACATAAATTCTGTTAAAGTTAAAGCGTTCGATGTTTTGAAGTGTGTTCAATGCTGCATCTGTGAAATTCAAATGGCAATTATAAACAATTCGCAAGAACCCAAAAACAAAATTGCACCAACAGAAAATTATGGGGACTGTCTGGTGCTCTGCCATTGGCATTATCCATGATAGCTTTCTGGAATCTAACCAAGAATTACTATTGAAGTTTACTGCCAATGGCTGGATGGATTTAATGCACATTTGGTTAAGGAAAATGTGACCAGCACTGGTCAGTTGATGGGTTTCAATTTTTCTTTGTGAAAATACTTAACCACATGTTGCCATGATAACATTGCAAAAGCTTATTGTCTTTGGATACAAGACATTGCCAAATCAACCATATTCTTTTGATTTCTCACACACTGACAACCACTTTTTCAAGCATCTTGACAATATTTTAAGCCAAATGATGTTCAGTTGCAAAGAAAATGAAAAAAACTATATTCAAAGCTTTATTTAAAGTTTTATTGTAAAGACATAAATAACCTTGTAACTCAATGGCAGAAATGTATAGATGTTCCTATTTTGACTGATTTGAACACTGTTTAAATAGATTAAAAATTGATTCTAAAATCAGACATTATTTTTTGAACATCCTAATAGATGAATTCTTTCATTATTGTTTATGAAGTGATCTGTGGCCTACATGTTAACAACACCTTTTAGATTTGGTTTCATTTTTAGATCTTGATTCATGGCCTTTTATAATTTCATCAATAAATCAAACATGTTATTCAAGGTATCTCCAGTTTTATTTCTCTTATGAATAAAGTATGGGATTTAATTTCAGACGATAAAAAGAAAAAGAAATTGTTGTTGGTTTCCAAAACCAGCTTGTTTTCAGAATTTGTAATTCTTTTGTAACCAATCATTATGGCAAATTATATTTGGCATTGTAGAAATACATTCCTTACTTTTTATCATTATTGCTCTTTCCTTTTAAGATGTCTCTGAAGACATTGCCTCTTGTTCAAATATCACATTTACTAAGATATTTATCTCCTAAGTGGACAGGCAAATGCACACAATTGCATATATCTTCATTATGTCCATAATTTTGTTTAACTAGTACCAAAGTAACTCCAAGATTATTGGATCCTTGCTTTCTTTTTGTTTGGCTTCATATAATCATCACAACACTGTCTTCTTTCCAAGATTTCCTGTGTAGATGTAAACACGGACGGTCTTTGTCTTTTTCTACTATTTAACTAGAAATAACATCAATGGCTTTCTTCAGTAGATTTTTTTTGCTGGCAATCTAACAGCCATTTCTATTGGTTTATCAACTTGAAGCATCAAAAGTGACAGTCAGTTATAGATTAGATTAAAACGTATTTGATGATCTATTTTGCTAGTTTGGTTGGAAAGGCAATAAAAGGAGAATCTTTTTCACTATTATTTTTCATAGCTCTTAGATATAATTCAGTTCATGCATGCACATGCCAGTAGGGAGACTAAAAGTTGAATACTGTGAAGATGTACCTATAGTGCAGTATAAGGATTTGATAGGAATTTCAATTGTTGGTGAATGCTGTAATGTTTAATATGGCATTTTTTGCTCTTGATTTTACAATGTCCTGTACATAAACCATTGGCAGATGAGAAATTGAGCCAATTTGGTGATATGTACATAATGGGGAGGTATGGAATGAACCCTTTGATATTTATCACAAATATATCATCTATAAAAAAAATCCATCTGTGATGCCAATAATGGGGTGAATACTTTGCTAATTTCTAGATTTAAATGGATTTAATCATTTGTTTCTTATGCAGTCTAGATTTTCAATTAAAACATGAGCTAATAAAAGTTTTTATTATTCATTTAATCTTTGATTTTGCTGCTGATGCTTACACCGTAAATGAATTTTAAGTGACATCAGTGTTTCTTTACATAAGAAAATGCTTTTAGGATATGTGCAGTTTTCTAAAAATACAGGGTGCAGTAGCAATCCCTCCCACATAATGGTAAGACATTAGCTAGATGAAGGCACCATTACCACTAATGTCTTACCATTATGTAAGAGAGGTAATGTAGGATGTATTTTTGCCACACCCAGTATAAGTATTTCTCTTATATGTGATGTACATGGGATTTGTACAAGACAGTTGTTAAGTTCACTCTTCATAGCAACCATTACTTCAACCAAAACTGGTGCCATTATCATCTTTGGGGTTTCACATTTTTAAGTTTTTATCTACACTTATCAATCATTGATTTTTATGGAAACACTAGGTTTGGCAAAACCAAAGATATTATGCTATAACATTAGCTTTCCTATGCCTTTTCTATAAATACTTTCATTGTAACTTTCCTCTATGGTACCTAGACTTTATGAATTTAAGTGCAGTATGAAATTGTTGGCATGTTCTCCTCATTTTACAGTTGAAACAGCTAGATGTAACCCCAAATTCTATGCTAAGTTTTTTTTTATATATATTGTAGTCATGGTTTCAGTGATTTATGGCTGCTGCACATTCAGGGGCAGAACAGGTTGACTGGTTTTTGCTGGAATTATTTTTGGTTGGGAGGGGTATACAATTCTCCATTCCAGAAAGGATCCAGTTAGTGACAAGGGCAGCAGTTTATGAGGCAGCATTCCTGAAGAAGGTTGG